TGAGGATGGCCTAGAACTTCTGATCCTCTCTGGCCTCTACATGTGTTCACCACCATGCCAGGTTTGTGAGGTGTTAGGGATCAAATTCAGGGCCTTGTGCATACTAGGCAAACACTCTACCAACTGAGCTACATCTTCAGCTGTCTTTTAACTTTCATAATAAAAAAAAAATCAGAAAAGAATCAATGAAGTTTTATTACTTAGATATGTTCATTTTCTTTATTAGTGATCACAAACTTGGGGCATACTCATGATTTTAGAAGCCTCTCTGAACAGGGTAATGCATAATTAGGATTATTGTATGAGAACTCTTTTATGTCTGTGGTCATGAAAATTATACACAGCTTTTTTTTTTCTCTCATCAGCTTTTGCTAGTGTTTGCGTATTTAATGTATGGCACAATGTGACCCAGAGAAGCCAAAAAGTTAGACACCCCTGTTTTAGGGCCTTGCTGCAACAATGGTGGCTTTAAGCAGCTGCAGCTGTAACATCTGAGTTCGTTAGAAATTCATATCCCACAAACCTACCAAATTAAAGTCTGTTTTTTTTTTAAAGAAAATTCCCAGGTGATTGGTTTGCACATTAAAGTCTTAAAGCACAAAAGGAGCCCTGAATCCTTAGGGAAAGAGGTTTCTATCTGCCATGTAACTGACCCTCTGGAAGGTTTTTGTCTTGGTTGTTAGGGGAGCTGAGAGTAGTTGATGTAAGAAGTTGGATATTAAATTGCAACCAAGGCCTGGGAGGTTATAGCAACAAAAGAACATTGCTTGTGTAGGAGGTCTGTATGTGGGGCTGAGGGACAGGCCCCAGAGGCTTAATGCAACAAGAATTTTTGTTTGTGTGTGTGAGCTCAGTGCTGGGGATCAAACCCACAACTTCTTTCATGGTAAACAAGTACTCTACCAAAGAGCTGGGACCCCACAACTAAAACTTTAGAAGCCTTACTGATGCCTTCCAACAAAGTGGGGAAATGAGCAGGACCTTTACTTTTTTTTAAAATTTTTCATGTGTACGAGTGTATTGCCTGCATGTATGTGAGTGCACCCGTGTCATGCAGTGCCACAGAAGTCAGAAGAGGGCTTCAGATTCCCCTGGAGCTGGAAATAAGGATGGTTTGTAGCCGCCATGTGGGTGCTGGGAATCGAACCTGGGTCCTCTGCAAGAGCAGTCAGTGCTCTTAACCGCTGAGCCATCTCTCCAAGGACCTTTACTTTTGAGTCAACTGGAGTGTGTGGAGTAGAAAAGTTTGTTTGTTTGTTTATTGGTCTTTTTGAGACAGGGTCTTCCTGTAACCCCAGCTGGCCTGGAACTCACTATGTAGACCAGGCTGGCCTTGAAGTCACAGAGATCCTCCAGCTTCTGCCACCTGAGTGCTGAGATTAAAGCCATGCCCCACCATGCCCCGCTGAGTGGAAAAGTTTAAAAATACTCTGTGATGGCTCCAAATATTTGGACATTCTGCCCCCAGAGGGTGGCGCCGTTTTGGGAGGTTTTAGAAGGTGTGGCTATCCTGGAGGAAGCCCGTCACTGGGGGGGTGGGCTTAGAGAGTTCTTGAGCCTTGCTGGATCTCCAGTCACTCTCTTGTTTCCTGTGCCTGCTGGAAGATGTAGTGCTTAGCTTCCACTGCTGCTCCCCCTCCAGCCACCTCTGCCACCATGCCTCCCCACCAAGTAATTCCCCTGGAACCATAAGCTCAAATAAACTCTTCCTTTTATAAATTGCTTTGGTCAGTGTTTCTATCACAGCAACAGAACAGTGACTAATACACATGCAAAACTCTGTATTTACAATCCTGACCTGGATACAAAGGAAACCTGTTCTGATGTTGGACTTACTCATGAAACTATTTTTTCAAAAAGAACTTGTGGAGGCCAGGCGAGGGGGACGCACACCTTTAAGCCCAGTACCTAGGAGGTAAAAGCAGGCAATCTCTAGGTTCTAGGTTATATGCCAACCAGAGACAACAGTGAGACCTTTTCTCAAAAAAAAGGAAGACTTTGTGAGTAGGGTATGGTGAAGCACTCCTATAATCCCAGAACTGAGGGCCTGAAGCTGAATTATTGTCATAATTTTTTTTTTTTAGTTTTTTTTATTGTCATAAATTTTTAAGTTGGAGGCCAGGATCAGCTAAGACCCAATCTGGAAATAAAACAAGTGACAAGACTCTTATAACAACAGAATGGGATTAGCCTAACAACCCAGACGCTCCAGAGACAACAGTGAGACCTTTTCTCAAAAAAAAGGAAGACTTTGTGAGTAGGGTATGGTGAAGCACTCCTATAATCCCAGAACTGAGGGCCTGAAGCTGAATTATTGTCATAATTTTTTTTTTTAGTTTTTTTTATTGTCATAAATTTTTAAGTTGGAGGCCAGGATCAGCTAAGACCCAATCTGGAAATAAAACGAGTGGCAAGACTCTTATAACAATAGAATGGGATTAGCCTAACAACCCAGATTGACCCATCAGCAGTATTCCAACTGCAACGCCCTGCAAACACCAACTAGAACCTAGTTGTTATGTTGCAACAAGTTTGGATTTGCCATGGAAACAGACAAGTCTGTGGTGGAGGTCCTGCATGACTGTTTTTGTAACAGGATCTTGACTGCCCCACTATGCTAAGGGCCTCAGCTGGGGCTTGGACCTGATGCGTATGTGAAAGGGCCAAAGGGACTTCTGTCATTAGGAGGAATTATGCTGACAGGCCACACTGTTACAAAGAGGGGACCTGAGACATGCACTGCCATGGCTAAGACCCAACTGTTGCCACCTGCAGGCTCTGCTAGTGACACACAGCCATGGGGTGGGGTGGGGCACTGAGGCACAGAGAAATCAGGGGTTGATCAAAGTCTTATGCTTGGTGAACAGAAGGAAGAATGTGGACATGAGCCTTCTGGCCTTTTGGCTCTTGCAAGGAGACTTTGCATTAGCTTTGAAATAGGATCTGGAAACTTGTGGGAGAAAACATTCACATTTAACCTGTTTAAATCTAGCATAATTTGCTACACAATTTTAAAGACCTCAATATGCTGTAAGGTAAAACCCAATTATCACTCTTTTTTTTTGGTCTTTTTGAGACAGGGTCTCCCTGTAGCCCCAGCTGGGACCTGGAACTCTTTGTAGACCAGGCTGGCCTTGAACTCATAGAGATCCGCCTGCCTCTGCCTCCTGAGTGCTGGGATTAAAGGCATGTGCCACCATGTCTGGCCAACTGTCACATTTTTAACTTATGTGTACTTGTGTATGTGGAGGGCATATACATGTGGGCATGCATGCCACAGGCACACAGGTTGGAAGTCAGAGGACAATTCTGTTGACTAGGTTCTCTCCACCATTATATGGATTCTGGGGATCAAACTCGATTTCTCAGGCTTGTGCAGCAAGCACTTTAAGCTGCTGAGTCATGTTACTGGCTCCCAAATGCCACATCTCTAGGAGACTATAGGTGTCCAGAATGTTGGTAAATACAATGATATCAAATTAAAAATGTAATTACAGCTCACTCCTGTAAGCACTTGGGAAGCTGAATGACTGAACTTTGAAGCTAACAGGGGCTTCATAGTTCCAGGCTGGACTGAACTACAGAGAACCTGCTTCAAAAACAAAACACCAAAGATACAATTACAGTGAAGTCTTATTTGAGGGGCTGGAGAGATGGTTCAGCGGTTAAGAGCGCTGGCTACTCTTGCAGGGGACCGGGGTTCGATTCGCAGCATCCACATGATGGCTAGCCGTCTGTAACTCCAGTTCCAGGGGATCCGATGCCCTTTTCTGACGTCCGAAGTTATTGAACGACACGGGTGCACCTACCTACATGCAAGCAATACTCATACACAAAAAATAAGAAAGTGGGAGCACACAGACAGGCGGATCTCTATGAGATTAAGGCCAGCCTGGTTCACATAACAAGTTCCAGGCCAGTTAGGGCTACCGGAAGACCTGTCTCAAAACCATCACCACCCCAAGAAAAAAGTCTTATTTGGCTTAGTGAGATCTGAGGGCAAGTTTTGAACCTAACATTCCTTAGCATATAAATTAGGCTAAATATAGTCTTCCAGAATTGGGCAAAATCCCCATCTTTCTCAAAGTCACCACTCTGGTGAAGCCCTCCCAGATTTCTCCAACTACAAATCTCCAGGCTGGGTTTACTGGCATTCCACGGTCTTTCTTTACTTTGGGACTTTCTCATTCTGGTGAGGTTATCTGGTGGAAATCCAGCTCTCTTTTACCAGCAGCAGCATAGAGGTCTAGCATTTAAGGCACCCCGGAAATGACCACAACCCCTTGCACACCATCGGGCTGCCAAATTCGAAGGTCGACGAAATTCTCAGGTACCAAGTGAGCACACTGAGACCCAGGGAGGGACCCTACACAAGCCGCGGTGCGGTGCCCAGGTGTCTCGCATCTGGAGTCTAACTAGCTAAAACCGCGGGTGAGGGTAAGTATTCGTGGGTTGGGACGCTCCAGAACTCCGCGCCGGGCCGCGGTTAGAACCCCACCCCCCCACCCTCCACGGAACCAGGGGAGGGGCAGGAACCATTCGTCCAGTGGGTGCCGGCTCCTTCAGGGCGGACACCCACCGACAGCGGACACACAAAGCCCGCTCGGTGCGCTCGGTGCTCGGCTGCTCAGGCCTGTGTCTCCGCACGCCGCCAGCCAGCTCCAGAATAGGCGGGGGCGGAGGCAGGCAGTGGGCGTCGAGCGCCGTGTGCTTCGAACCGCCACGGGAGGGAGCTAGCAGAGGAGCGGGCCGCGGGGGGTGGAGAAAGAGGCCTCGCGCGGAGGAGGGAGCAATTGAATTTCAAACACAAACAACTGCACGAGCGCCCGGAGCCGAGCGTTGCCCA